CTAGTATAGAAGGAGCCAAAGAGGAACCTTGCGAGTGAATCTTGCCTTTCCTTCTGTACACTCAAATGGGTGGATGTAAAAGGGTCCAGAACTTGCAACTTCAGAACACTGGGGAGAGCTGTAAGAAATGTGGTTTAATGTGATCCAAGAAAAGCAGACAGGTAACAACTATAAAGTCCCATTATTCACTTCCTGAGTTTCCTCAGTGCAACATGGAAACACTGTGTGACAGCCACTGGGTATACAGCAGTGTTCTGTGCAAATTATAGATCATGTAGCTCCAGCACGAAGTCCTACAAGGGTGGTTCTGATGTGCTGGAGATCTAAGTGATCTCCGTGCGTGAGGCTTAGTTTACAGAATTTAGTTAGTGAAGCCAGTAGTATTTGATTCTTTTCATTATTTACATATTATCCTTGACCTCTTTTTTTTTCCCCCATGTTTAACAGCAAGTACAGGTGACTGAGTCTACCTTAAAAACACAGGAGAACTGACAACTTCTTGTCATTTCCATTATTCACAGCAACTAGGCTGATTCTTTTAGGAGGCAAGTCAGGTTACCATCAATCCTCTGTAAGAAGTCCTTATGGTGGCCATCGGGACCCAATCTGAATGGCCTGTGTTAGCTCTTCAACCTCATCTCCTCTATCACCTGCCTCCATTGCTGTAGCCACTTGGCCTTTTTGATAGTCTTGGTTCAGAGAAGCCTTTAAATTACTGTTCAGGCTTTTTGGAATGCCCTCCTTCCCGACAGCCACATGGTGTGCTCCCTTATTCAAAATTCATGCTGCTTTCCCAGCCACTCCATTTAAAATTGCAGCACCTCAATCCTGCTTCACTGCTTTGTTTCATTTTCTTAGCCCCAGCCCATGTACTGTGTGTTTTCTCTATTTATCTCATATATTGACTGTCTTCTCTAATGTGGGCTCTCCAAAGAGAGATTTTGCTTTTTTTTTTTCCACTCTTGTATTACTGGCACTCAAAACAAAGATGAGTAACAGTAAATACTTGCTGGAGGAATGACTGTCTAGTCCACTATACCTTAAGTCCCTCGAGGCCACATCTTGTTTGTTTCCATTCCTGGTACCCAAGCATTGTGCCTGGCTCATAGGTTTTTATTAAATGTTTGGTGGATAAATGAATGAATGCTGACGTGCCTTCCCATGGACTCTCAAATTATTAAGCATGTAAACACGGGATAATGAGTGAAATCTCATCAACGATTTCAAATGTGCTCTGTTGAGCTGTCCTTAAGAAAATTTCAGCTACATTTCACATATTCCTATTTACTTGAGTATTGGGACAGTTTTATTTGAGTATTGAAGATTGCTCTTTTGAAAACTTTATTCTTAAACATTATCTGAGACTTTTCCAGATATCAACTACTTGGTGACTTAAAAATTGAGTGTATATAGGATTTTTAAAAAAAAGTTTTTGTAGGGGCTGGGGATGTGGCTCAAGTGGTAGCGCACTCGCCTGGCATGCGTGCGGCCCGGGTTCGATCCTCAGCACCACATACAAACAAAGATGTTGTGTCTGCTGAAAACTAAAAAATAAATATTAAAAAAAATTCTCTCTCTCTTTCTCTCTTTAAAAAAAAGTTTTTGTGTATATTTGAGGTTTCCAACATGATGGGCTTATAGACAGTAAAATGATTACTATAGTGAAGCAAATTAAATATATATCATCTCACATGATTACTTTTTTAATGACAAGAATAGCTAAAACCCAATTATTTAACAAAAATCCCAATTACCATACAATTTCATGAACTATAGTGTGCATGTTTACATTACATCTCTAGACTCATTCATTCTACAAATCTGCTCCAACTATCTCTCCCTATTTCCTCCCCCTTTACTACCCCCAGGTAACCACTATTTTGTGCTTGCTCGCTCTCTCTCTCTCTCTCTCTCTCTCTCTCTGAATATTTGATTTTTTTTAAAAAAAAGATTCAACATAAAAGTGAGATTGTGCAATGTTTTTTTTTTTTCTCCCTGTCTGGCTTATGTAATGTCCTCCAGGCTCATTCATGGTGTGTTGCAGAGTTAGGATCTCCTTTACAGGGCTGAGCAATATTCCATGATGTGTATGTGTGTGTGTGTGTGTGTGTGTACTTATCTCACAGTTTCTTTGTCCACTTGTCCAGCAATAGCCACTTAGATTGTTTCCACATCATAGCTATTATGAACAATGCTGCCATGAATGTGAGAGTCTAATCTTTATGAGGTGGTACTTTTGTCTCCTGTGGGTCTACACCCAGAAGAGAGATTGCTGGGTCGTGTGGTAGTTTTGTTTTTAATTTCTTTAGGAATCTCCATACCATTAAAGCCATCCTGTTTTCCATAATGGTTACATTATCTACATTCCCACCAAGAGTGTATAAGGACTCCGTATTATCCACACCGTCACCGACTTTTATTATCCCTTGATTTTTGATAATCACTATCCTAATGGATACAAGATAGAAATCTCATATTGGTTTTAATTTGCATTTCTCCCCATACTAGAGATTGGAGCTCTGCCCTTTTTCCTCTAGTCCAACTGACAAAGTGCCACCACTTTCCAGGGCTTGGAATCTACATCCACTCAAATGCAGAACCCTATCCCTACTCCCGGGAGTCACCTCATATTCATTGCTTCTGTGTCTCCTCCAGCCTGACTCCCCAGCTGTAGTCTCACCCCCAAGATTAAGCACAGGCTGAGGCTAATTATGTCCTGTCCTAAAATCCTCAGTAGCTCCCTTATCAAATCAAAACCAAAGCCTAACTTTAACCTGTTCTTTAGGGTGATGCTTGTTCCATCCCAATCTTTCCTTTCTCCCGTTCGGGCCTCCATGACACTCCATTAAAGGAAGGTGCTGCTGTACACAGAAAGTTGAATAAGTGGATAGATATTTTAAAATTGTGATGATGCTGTCGGGGTATATTTAGCCGTAGAGCACCCATTTAGCATGTGCAAGGTCCTGGATTCAAACCCAGCACATTCCCACCCCTCCAAAAAAAATAACTGTGCTGATTTGCTTTTCCTCTCTGAGGTTTCTTTGATGGCAGTGCTGACTGCAAATGTTGATGGTTCCAGGACCTGGAATGTGGAACACATGAAGAGCTTTGTACCCTGTGCTCATATCTCTGGAATAAGACCACGACACTATTTGGGATGGTGGGGAAATCACATCCATATCCTGCTACAGCTGGCTAAATGAGCTGGAGCCATCTGGCTGTCTCTCCTCCCCCCTCCTTCTCTTGGAATGAGCTGGTGGACACAGCTTGTGATAAGCAGAGTGAGTGGAAATGAAGACGAGAGGTTTCTAGAACTTGACTGTAATCTGTGCATGAGGATTGCGACATCCTGGCAGGAGCATATACTTTAGCTTTGTTATCTGAAAACTCTGCAGCTGCAGGCAAGTCGCTGAACTTTCTGGTCCCATTACCTTGTCCGCTAAATATGGAAACTAACTCTTACCTTTTGTGGTTTTCAAATCAATGTTGGAAATATTAAAGTAAATGCTTGTATACTTAATATCTGACCCATATTAGTGTTCAGTAAGAGGTAGATGTGTAACAAATTATAATATCTTTATTTTTACTTCTGCTTTTATAACTTTGGAGATTTATTTTATTTTCATATCTAAGTGTCATTTGGACACCTGCATTAAAGAGAGGTTGTTGTTGTTGTTGTTTTTCCCACAATGGTAATAAATTCTATGATGATTAGACTTAGGCATTGTACAGTACTAAATTACTTATACACTATTAAATGGAAATAAGTATATAAATAACTAATATTTCTGATAATAAGCTTAGAATTGTTTATTAGTTGGATAATAGTCACCATAAACATTATTTGGTGTATTATAATTATACATAATAATGGGATTCATATATGCCACAACAAAGTTGTTAAAAATAATCTATAAAATTTGGCAGTTCTTATATTAAATATTGTATTTTTAATCTGAGGCTTGATTCTTAAATTTTAAAAAATGAAATTCAAATGGACTTCTGAAAGTCCACAATACCTATATTTTTTAGTCTATAAATAATATTATATCACTGAATTAATATTAATTGACATTATAAAAACATTTTTAAATGTTTTACAATTGAAGAGACTTCACAGTTTGCTAAGGAAACTTCTTTCTTCAAATAATTCAACCCTAATCCTCTCTAATTGTCATCCTAATAATCAATACAAATAATTAGCTCACTGGCTTTTTAAATACATGATAAAAACTCAGGTTGGAATATAGCTCAGTGGTAAAACATTTACCTAGGAAGTGCAATGCTCTGGATTTCACCTCCAGTTCTGGAAGAAAAGAAAAGGTTCAGACTGGTATGTAGTCTTTTCCATTTCCAGGGTAGTAAAAGATGACAAATATTATAGTTAATCTTTATATAATCATGAGACAGAATTATTGTGAAATCCAAAATCTCATTTGAATTCTAGGCAGGTGCAAGATAGCACAGAATCAAAAGGAGCACACATAGGTTTGAAGATAGAGTCTTCAAACTATGCAAAAATACAACATTCCATTTAGGAATGTTATCACACAATGCCTGAAAAATAAAAACAACTGTTACTTACTGAGTGAAGAGTGAATACTACTATTTGACATATCAGACATTTTAAGTATACTTGATTATTTAACCTTGAAAATATATAATCTAAGTAGAATCTTTGTTCTTATTTTATAGATAAGGAAGCCGAGACTCTACAAGTTTTTATGACTTATATAAATCTCACAGCTTGTAAGCATCAAAGATAAATTTGATCATAATGTCTGTTTTCAGTGCCAATAAATGGAACATACAACTAACTAAACATCTTTTTTTTTTTTAACCAATGGACAATGAAAATTAATGCTGACAGGGAGAATTGGTCTGAGTCTTCATTTTCAGAGGAAACGTGACAGGCCTACATGAAAACAACCAGTTATTCGTAAAACTTTTATAGGGACCACTAAAACTTGCTTCTTTTTTCCCACCCATTTTGTTTCCTTAGACAAAACAAGTTACCAGCATGAGAAGATCTATCGTGGGGATAGTCCTTTCTCCTTAAGTCAAAGAGCTCTCCATGGACATATTCTGGTATTTATTTTCCTTGCAGTACTTTAAGAATGTATTACTTTATACAATTTATCCTCTCAAAAAGTCATCCAGAAATTATAGAATAAAACCTGATAGAGTCTTAGAGTTCCATTAGGACAGTCCTTTGTTCCTTGGAAAACCTATCCAAGATGAATGGTTTTCTCTGAAAGCACACACCAGTATCACCAGAGTTTTGTTCATTTGGCCACAGGGATGAAAATTGCATTGGAAAAAAGAGGAGAAAAAATAAAGGGGAAATGGGTAAGTTTGTAGTGCACAGGAGTTTTGATCCTTAAAAGGTCTTTCTACAGTACAGAATCCTGCTATCAAGAGAATAACTCCCCCCTTTGATATCTTTTCTGGTTTTTTTTTTCTATTTGAACTTACTGAATTCATCATATACCTTAACTATTTTGTCCTTGGGAATGTGGAATTCATTAGATTGTGAATTAGCCAAACAATTTAAAATTCAAATCAGAATTGCCTACACTTTATTTCTAAGCTTGAGTGTGCAAACCCATGATAATTTGCATGGCTTATAGTATTCATGAATTAAGCAGAAATTTGACTTCATATTGCCAAATGATCTCTGGGTTGATGAGTATTCTGTATTAACAAGGTGCAAGACAGTTTAAACCAACGAGTCTGCTGCTTTGGAGACCAGCTTTGTTGTTTATGCTCTCCTACTGGCAGGAAAATAGGAGTGAAACTGCAACTCATAAGTGTGAAACTAGCCAGATATTCTCTGCGTGTGACAGCATGAGCTTTATCTCCCAGACCATTAACAAAGTTTGGAATGAGCAAAGAAAGGGAAGCCGATTCTGAATTACAGTGATTCTGAATTCATTGCTAATGCAATAGTAAAAGAGAATTTAGAAACTTCTGCCAGGTTTTCTTGCTACAGCAAGTGGTAGATGTCCTTACTTGTGCCAGTGGCCTCAACACTAGATGCCCAGGTAGAAGAAAACAGATAGAAAAAAAATTGAGGCAACTGATGATTAGAGAACAATAATTCACATTGGCGAACGGTCTTGCATTTTGTAAAATGGTAATTATTTTTCCTCGTAAGCTTTCTGAGGGCTGCTCACATAATTTTCAGAAAATTAAAACCATGACTTGCATGCAAATGCAAAATGAACATGTCAAAATTTATTCAGTTGATTTACTGAAGAGGGAATCAGTAAATTTGAAATGATTTAAAAGGCATTTAAGGACTTAGGTGTTTATAAGCAATTTAATACCGAAATGGTAGGATGAGATACAGAAACATCTAGTTCATATCCTACAGGGCAATTGTCCTAATCTATTTTCTGTTGCAATAACTGGACACCATGGACTGGGCAGTTTGCAAAGAGAAGAGATGAATTAAGCTTGTGGTTCTGGAAATCCAAGAGCATGCATCAGCATCTGCTTGGCATCTGGCAAGAGCCTTCTTGCTGGGTTGTGATGTGGCTGAGGACATCATGTGCCAGACTGAGCAAGCTTGGGTCTCTCTTCCTCTCCTCATAATGCCACTAATGCCATCATGGGGATCCTACTTTCATGACTTCATCTGGTCCCAATGACCTTTCCCTGGTCCCACTTCCAAACTCCATCTACATATGACTTTGGGAATTACATTTCTTTTTTTTTTTTTAATTTATTTTTTACAATTTCTAATACATGCAATGTGGAGGACAAATCCAAACCACAGCAACCATGAACTTTGGGAGTATCCATTCCACAACAGAGGCATTATTTGCATTTTTACTAGACAAAAACCTATGTGTTTAGGCAATGTTACTAAGTCTGGGATCTTTAATTAATATTAAGTAGTAAATTAAAAAATGACATCCCCCTAGGTCATCTTTTGGGTGTATCTTCAACCATATGAGAGTGAAAGAATTTGCCATTTTTTAAAACTTTTCTTTCAAATTTGGGTACTTTTCTCAATAGGACATTTAAATTTTGTGTGAATATTTAGTAATAGAGGCATTACATGAATATGTATGTAAGTATATAGGAAATAAATGCAAATTATTAGATAAAAATAAGAGTTATGTATAGAATGGCAGGTTCTTAAAAAGAATCCTTAGAGATGAGGCAACATGGAACTGAAGCTCTCCTTAGATTTACTATTACTGCTGGGGCTAGGGATAGAGCTCAGTTGGTGGAGTGCTTGCCACGCATGCACAAGGTCGTGGGTTCAATCCCCAGCACCACACACACACACACACACACACACACACACACACACACAGATTTATTACCACTAATTATCAAATGCTTCCTATGCGCCAGGTATCACATTAGGTGCTATCTCTAATGGCCCTGTGGATAACTCTTATGATAAGTGAAGATCAGGGAGTTAGACCACTTATCTGACATCACACAGCTACTAAGAGCCAAGGAGCAAACTCTTCATTCAACTGTTGGCCTCTAATCCTTGTGCTTTAACTTCTGTGCTCTGTCAGCTCTCACCACATAGACGTAGGGGTAAGGATCTTAGAACTTTGCAGATTTAATTTTAAGTGTAAGTAATGACGCTTAATACTGGTTTTAATATTAGTCCTAGAACTGATATTTAAGGGAAAGTTACTGATTGCTAGACACTGTGCCAGTGTCTTGTCCTAGTTGTCTTAATCATCCCAATAACTCTGTGAATGAGATCAAAAAGCACTCTTAGTTGCAGTTTAAGACAGAACACAATAACACTGAACCAAAGCACCATTTGCTATAAATTAAGACTCCCCAAATATCTTGTGGCATGACCTTATCCTATGAAATAGAAATCTCTTTCTCTCTCAGAGTTTATGCTACAAGAGACCATGTCAAAGTAAGAACATATTGACATATATAAAACTATGAAAATATCGAGCAGAAACAGATTAAATGGAGATGTATATCATAAACCATTAGCAGATTTTTTAAAGTATAGAAAAATGTCATTGGTAGCTTTTAACTTTTGGAAAATTAAAAGCTTTCTTTATTTAGATGGTACAAAGACTGGTTCAAAAATTTGGACTTTCTGACTTTTAGCCCTTAATTCAGAAAGTGAAATTATACACCCTGAAATTCTTCTTTTTTTTTCTTTTCTTTCTAAAGCGTTGTTCTACGCAGTGAATCTCTTGACAAGATACAAGATCTGAGATCCACACATTTCTCATAATATTTACATTTTATTCTCTACTTTTACTCTGATAAACCCCTCATGGCTATGGTGAAGTTATTTTATTACTGTATACCTACTATATTTTGTTTAAGGGAATGTTGGAATTGAGACGGGGCAGAAGGATGGTCAGTGTAGATGATGAATCATTGATTGGGTAGGGAAGATGGAGGCTGATTCAAAAAGAAATAAAATGCTAATACCTCCAGACCACCTCCCCCTCCCCCTCACCTGTTGCCAAGGTCACCTGCCTCCAGGGAACTGTTCCTCCCAATATGGAGTTCTTAAGGAGTACCCCCTGGGTGGCTCCCTTCCTGTCTTTCTGGGCAGATATGAAAAATAGGGAGAGATACCCCCTGGCCCTTTTGGTCAGGTAGGCAAGATAGGAGGAAGAGGGGGCATGAGAAGAAAGGAAACCTAAAATCTATAGAAGGGGCAAGACACCCCCACTCCCTGGGGCACCAGCTCGGGTCCCCCTCCTCTCTGGAGGAGCCTCTCTCTCTGTGTCTCTGTTCTATCCTTTAAATAAAATGTTTTGCTCTTCTTTGGCATTTCTCCTGTGTTCAATCTTCAACACTAGGGGAACGGTGGGATCCTGATTTTCAGAATGAATGGGGGAACAATCTTAAATAACTATAGTTGGTGGAGTTTAAATGAAGGTATGTGCTCGATATTTTGTCTGAACTGTCTAGCCTACTAACTGCAATCTGTGTAACTATTTTACGTATGTATTGGTGTGGGAATTTCACTGAATAAGAACGTGGAGAATCTCACAGTCAGGACAGCTCTTAAGAGATGATCACATCCAAATTCTCTTTCAATGAAGCTACCCATTTCATACCACCCCTAAGGTACGACTGGGATCTAGTGGGAGAGTTTAAGTTATTGGGGGTATGTCCTTGAAGGGAGATGTGGGACCCCAACCTCCTCTCCTCTTTCTCTTTTTTGCATATCAGCCACAAGGGGAGGAACTTTGTTCTCCACAGGGTCCCTGCGATGATGTGCTGCCTTGCCCCAGGCCTAAAAGCAGCAGGGCCAACTGACCATGAACTGAAACCTCTAAAACTGTGAGCCAAAATAAACCTTATCTCTTTATAAGTTGATTATTTCAGGTATTTAATTACAATAACAGAAATCTGACTAATACATGTCCTCTGCCAGTGATAGAAGGAAGTTATTGTCAAAGTTTTTGGTTTTCTTGTTGGGTAGTAGGTTCATGGGCTCTTACTACATTATCGAAAACAGAGAAGAAACAATCAAATATAAAAATAAATAAAACTTTCATGGATCAGTGATGTGTCACAAATCAAGAATTAAGATTATTATACTCGATACCCTGGAGGTCCAATAAACAAATAAAAATAAACCTGAAGGCTAGCATTCCCCAAATTTCTTACATATTCTTCATACAATATGCTTGCAAAGCCTCTAGTCATCTTGGTCCTGTGACTCTCTAAGCTCTCTAGTCATTCAACATCTCTTACAATATCACACCAGAGGGCAAGATGGATTCTGTCTAGTGCAGAATACAGTGAACCATTTCCTCTTACGATCTGCATAGATATTTCTCTTAATACTAAAAATTACATTAACTTCACATTATTGCCTCGTTCTGATTTATGGTTAATTGAAGACTGTACATTATTTTTTAATGCCATACCATAATTTTCATAGCATCAATTCCAGATGATCTCATTTAAATTTTTAAAATCACTTTTATGAATTTACATATGGTCATTTACATTTGCTCTTATAAAATTTTAAGTGGGTGGTTTTCAGTTCATTTTTTATTCCTTTGAGCTCTCTAGCGTATTAGCTGCCCTTGCCAATTCTGTGACATTCCCGAATTTGATGAGCATGCTGGCAAAGCTTTGATCTAACTTGAGCAGGACAGAGCCTAGAACAGAATCCTGGTGAGGTTAGCCAGACATGATTTGTTTTTGGTGAATACAGTCTCTCTTTTGTTTTTAAGGGACCATAATTTGTCAACTTATTTCTCATTTCAAAAAAAAGAAAAAAGTAAATGTCATCTTTTCCTAACATATGGTTTTCAGGGTCTATTTAAATTGATAAATCCTCCATTTATTCATTAATACATCCATCCATCCATTAATTCATTTATTCATTCATGCAGGTTATGAACCCTATTCCAGATGCTGCCAAAAAAAGTAAGATGTAGTTGTTAACTTTAAAGATTTTGTACTTTTGCTTCTTCTATTCCCCACTCTCTTGAAAAAAGGGGCTTTGCCTAATTTTGGCCCTCTGAATCAGCTCCATTATTTCCCTAAAAGTACTGACAGCAAGATCATGCTTCTGAGTATCATATTGAGGAAATAAAGAAAGGATTAGGGGACAGGAAATCTTTACCTTACTCAGGTGAGTCTTTGTGGAGGAGAGAGAATTTCAGGAACTCTTCAAGCACTTGATGAATTTTGTTTAAACCTTGACTGGATTTTGTTAGATTTGAAGTAATACAGAAATATAGTAGTACTCAGAGCAAATTATTAACTTGTCCTGAACCACATAGTAAATTGAAAACTTTTATTGCTGTTGGAATCAGTCTTAGCATGGGGGGACTAGCAAGAACACACACTTAAACTAGTTTTCTTTACAAAATCAACCTTATTAAATTTTTCACTTGAAGTTTAATTTTGATATCCTGTATGGGTACAGAGTACTGGGCTAAATAAGCTTCTGGAAACAGTGCCTCAGGCATTAAAGAAACCATGTTTTCAAATTTTATTGTAGAACCAACTTTTTTCTTCAAGGCAGTAACTTTTTACTGCCTGGTTGTGCTCCATTATTGCACTAATAAATCTATAGGGATAAGAAACTGGGATTTTACTAGAAATGAGCCAAGTGTAACTTTTTTGTTTTTTCTAAAACTAAGTTGCTAAAAGTGGTCTTTCATGACTTATGTAGACATTTTACCAGTTAGTCTTTTCAACCAAAATGTCACCCTCTCTGGTGTGTGTGTGTGTGTGTCCTCTGTTGCTGCTTTCTTACTTGCCTTTCTTTCTGCAATAGTGTCTTACTTCCTTCACAGTGGAAGGAGGAAAAAAAAAAAGAGTTTTTCAGTTCCCTTCCCCTAGTTCTATTGTTTTTCTTCTAGGAGGCTCTATTCTGGCCAAATTGACATGCATTGGATTTGAGATGGCTTTAGTGATGAGGTCTTTCTTAAAAATGATAAATTGTTGATAGATTCATAAGAGTAAGACAACCAAAATGATACATAGAAACTGTGGCCACACACTCAAGGATATTTCTTCAATTACTATATAAGTCATTCTTGAATGAGCTCTTTGCCCCCAGAGAAGGTCCACTCTTAATGTTTTTATTGTTCTCTGTTTTTGTGGGAGACGAGGGTAAGAAGGAATGGGGAGCACAGGCAAAGCAAGAAGAGGGTTGAAGAGAGGGGAAGGATGAAGGTGGGGACAAGGTTCTTAGTCCATTTTCTGTTGCTATTACAAAATACCCAAGACCAGGTAACTCATAAAGAATATAAGTTTGTTCAGCTACAGTTCTAGAACCTGGGAAGTCTGAGAGCATGACATCAGCATCTGCTTAGCATCGGGTGGTCTTCTACCTACATGATAACATGGCAGAAGGTATCACAGAGCAAGACTGAGCGAGTATATGTCAGCTCAGGTTTGTCTTCCTCTTCTTATAAAGCCACTAAATGCCATCATAGGCATCCCACCCTCGTGACCTCATCTAATCCTACTTACCTCTCAAAGAACTCCAGTCCAAATACCATCAACACCTGACTTTCATGATTAAATATGCAACACATGAAATTTGGGACTCACATCAAACCACAGAGGCAGTCTCATATAGTTAGAGGGCCTTTGGGTAGACATTTAAATGATATTTCTTATTAAATTCTGAGCTTGAAGGTAATTTGGGGGAATAGCCTTGGTGATTTGGTCAGTAGTGTGTCAATTTGTGTGTAGGTCATATTACAGCAAATTCAGGATTTCTGTGACCCTTTCTACGCTATGAGGGGGAAGGGTGATAGACAATAGCTATAATCCAGCTGCTTCACTTGGCTTATGGGAAGGTGAGCAGAGAAAATCAGAACATGTCGGCAAATTATAATCAGCTGATTTGTAAGTTATTTATTAAAATTAGGTATGCATTTTCCTTTTGAACACAGCATGAACTTATGACCTTGAAAGACTATCTTTACCTCTCTACGAGCCTCTTCCAGAAGTCTATCCATATACTTATTGTGGGTGTGTGTGGAATAAGATAGGAAAAATTATCCTGGTAAGCTTTGTGTTTTATAACCTACACTTTTCTAGTTGATTTATTGTTTATTGCTAATAGATACACAATTTGTACTTAGCTTTTCTTTCCTGTGTTTTGTCTGTTCTTAATTTAGTCTCTCAACTACCCCTTGAAGCCTACCCCATTGTTGACTGAGGAAAAAACTATTTTATTTCTACTGGAAATTAACATAAAGGAGTACCTGTCTACAGCCAACCTTCTTTATCTCTTTTCTGAATAATGAATCCATTTGAGAATCTGTTGAAATTATGAGTCCTCTCTTCATACTTGGGTAAGTATACAACCCAACCTTACATACACTTTTAGGGGTATAGACTTTCCTTAAAGGTACAGGAATCCTAGATTAGTAATGCTTTGCGTGTGTGTGTGGGGGGGGGAGTGATGAGGGACTGCAAGGGTAAGAATTAATGATATTGTTCAGCTGCAGACATGGAGCTAGATCTGATACAGAAACAGCAGCAGACAGGTGTTGCACATCTTCGCACAGAACATTTCTTGATGGTGTGGGAGTTTCTTTAATTAAAATACGATGAGAACAGCTGGCCACCAGCTAGAACTGGCAACACAACAAGAATGTCAATAAATGCAATCACAGACGAAAACTTCCAGGCGCAGCTGTTTCTAATGGAGACTCGGAGTCTGTAGCCCTACAGACAAGAGCTTCATCTTTTCCATTTCACTCACACTCTCTGTAGCATCTTTAATGTTGAAAATAAACTGAGAACTTCCCTAGAATTGTTAAAAATACCACCAAGGGCATTCGGGCTTTATAAAACCTTAGAAAAGTAGTTAATTCCAAACAACTCACCACATGTCTTGTTGTGAGTCACTGAGAAAACAAAAAAACAACACCCTCCCCCCCCCCTAAAAAAAATGAGTTCAGGACTCATGACTTGTTTGTCTCTTTCAACTGGTAAACCACAGTCCCACGGGCAGCAGGAGAGGACTTGATTCCAGGGTGCAATGCCCAGAGTTAAGGGCAGGGGGCACTGGAGAGCCAGTAATGGCAGCTCCCCAGGAGAACAATTACAGTGCATCCCAGGATGGGGTCCAGAGTGATCCCTGGGTAAGTCACAACACAAGGCTACTAGTTCCTTTCCCCAGTTTTGGTAGTTCCTTTCCCCCCCTCCTCAGTTTCCTTAGCTTTAAAATGGAGTTAATGTGAGAGTGAAGTGAGAGACTTTATAGCGTTTCAAAAATCTGTAAATCATTAATGGAAGGTGTTGTAATTTTCCACTTAATTGGAAAATGATGATAAGTAAAATAAATTCCCCTGCTGCCTTTTCCAGTTACCTCTTTTGACCTCAGCAGAAACTCTAAAAATAAGGTAACTACCACAAAGTCTTTTCACTTCTCAAAATGGACCTGAGTTAATTTTGGTCTATTGTGCTGACGAAAAAGAAAGAAACTAGCAATTTATCTGGAAGGAAAGGGAAGAGAATCAAATTTTCAAATACCCACTATGTGCCAGGTATTTTCCCAAGTATTTTATTATATTTCATATTATAGAATCCATAAAACAAAAAGAAGAAAATATTATGTTTTACATTTTATGGATAGGAAGAGAGATTAGGTGGCTTCCTACTACACAGCTGGGTTATCGAAGCCAGGATCGAAGTCCAAGTCTGTCCAACTCAAAAGCACAAGCACTTCCTACCAAACCATATTTTGTTTTACTCTAAGCATTTGTTGGGAAATAGGCCTAAAGTGATAAAAACAGTAAATAGAATGGACCAATTTAGTTATCCATTCAACTTCCTTAAATAGCAATGGTATACAGCACTTGCTTTCAAAGAGCACAAGACCAAAGCTTCTTACATCTGTCTGTATTTACCAGAAGGGCTCAATAAAGAATTATAGCAGCAACTTCCAAGTATGTTTTAAAATTTTTCAATTAACAAGAATCTCTTATTTCATAAATCCTGTCAATATGTTAACATAGGATTATTCAAGCCCCTGATTATCAAATACCCTGAGATAATCACACCACCAAATCTCAAGTCACATCTAGATTTTCACTGGGGGGAGTTCATACACCCCAGTGGTAAAAAGAGAGAGAGAGAGAGAGAGAGAGAGAGAGAGAGAGAGAGAGAGAGAGACATAATTGTATTAGATGGGCTGGTAAGGACTACTGAAATTTCAGAGTTGTTGGGTTCACAGGAGCCTGGAGAGTCTTGGATAATGACATTCAGGTTCAATAAGATGAGATTCACATATCCTTGAATTTTGAAGGGCTGTGTTGTGACAATGCCCCTCTGTCATGTGGGTAGATCTATATTTTTTAAAAATACTTATTTTGGGTGGTGCTGACTAGACGCCAATCACCATTGCCTACACATTTTGGACTTTGTTTCGGAAAGAATCCAAATATTTGTGAGAAGAAACAAACTCTTAAGGTCAAAATGTATCCTCAAAGACTGAAGAATAAGGTACAATGACAAAGCAAGCCCAGGAACTCTCACTGGAGAAATCTGCCAGCAGAGGGCAATGTTAGTTTTCACACTTGCCCTGAACCTCTACTCAGCTGAAATCATTGAGTACAAAAAGATGGGTAGAAACCTTAGGCTATTCAGTAGAGATCTTAGGCTATAAAATTTTTCTATCACAGGCAAATAAGAGTAGAAAAGTGATAAGGCACAGTGTTGATTAATAAAATTCTAGCACCTCTGATAAAAATTAATTAAGCTTATTTATTTTTAATACCATTAAAACTCTAGATATTAACTGATTATAGTGCAGCTATAGGATTACCATATCTTTATGGCATTTCCTTATTGTCTGACATAGGAGTTTCTCAACGATTATTCATTGAATAACTTATGAGTAAATAAATGCTGATCAAATATAGGCATATGTAGGATTGAGGTGGAGGCCCAGAGTAGAATGAGACCTTCTTACATTTCTCTTTCTTGTAGAATGCAGTTATTTCTGAGCATGTTTCTCTGAATACTTCTCATGGTATTTAGGAAAGTAATTTCTGGTCTTTCCACCAATTTAGGGCAACCTTAAATCAGGAAGTTTAATTTCTGTAGTTTTGCATGAATAGAAAACAAGTGCTATTACCTAGTGTGACATTGAATCCCAAGGTTTACTTGACATTGGTAAAGATGTTTGGCTAGAGGGGATTCGTTAAAAGTAAGGCTAGGAAAATTAAAATATTATTTATCAATTATTGCTTGAATTAAATTAGTCACTTTATAGAACTAAAGTCAGAAAAAAATCTAGTTTTTTTAAGGCTAAATTAAAGAACTGTAATGTACAAATAATGAATCAATATGCATCTTCTGGGTATCTTGTTTTGTCAATTTTGGTGTAGAATTATATTATTATTTTGTTATATAAAATGATAGCAATGTTAATAGTTTGAATTAGTTGGCATAATGTCTATTTTTTAACATCTGTTAAATATGTTTCTAATTTTATACTCTCAGTTTCAGCATGTAGCTAAATATTTAGCATTAAGGAATGCCCTTTGGTGAGGATTGAATGAGTCTTGATGCTTCTAATAGTTCATTGTACATTTGGTTTTAGAAAACTGGCCTTAAGCATAAACCACAGGAGCAATAAGAAGACAACTTTTTCTATGCACTCTCAATATTTAGTTGTTTTGTTTTTGTTTGGTTTGGGTCTGCTTATAAGTTGCAGGAAAATAAATTTATGGAGATGCTTTAAATATAGAACAGTGCATCTACTGAAATTTGAGGGATTAGCTTCATTGCAAATGGAAGGATTTGGCTGAAATTTACCATCAACTCTCAATAAAGCTTTCTCCTAGGGTCATTCATAGTAGAACTTGTTTTGCCTCCACTCAGGTTCCTTGTCCCTTGGCTAACACAAGTCAAGTTCCATAAGAAAATAATGCACCTGATCTTCTGCTGATATGATGTTCTGTTTAAGCAATTTTTCCAGGGAAGGTTTGGGTTTATGCTGATCTGAGCACACTCTTACCCCACTTTGATTTACAGCTGCAAGGCAAGAAGCCCGCTTTGGGGCTGGAGTTTGTCAGCAAATATAGTCAAATAAACTGATCCATGTGCTAATGACTGGTCTTATTACCAATCTCTTCTGATTGAGTGAAGCAGTTGCAATTTATTATAGTCTTTTAAAAATGCATAACCATGACTCTTTCAGAAACCTAAACTATCCTTTCCTAGTCTTGTTTTCAAGGTGATGGTTTCCCTAAGGCAATGACCAGTGATAGTGTTGTTTTAGGACACATTTGCAGTGTTTATTTATGTTATACAGTATACAGGTCTTCAATTTGAGTTCCATTAGGTCAAACAGGATTTCTTTCAGATGTTCTGTCTTCTAAGGATAAGACTTTATTCTACATATAAAATATGTTTATCAATTACAGTGAATTATTTCATTTTTGTAACTGTATGGATGACAATTGACTAATTAAAATCTTTTGCATTTCTTGATGTTATAATATTTGTGTCTCATTTAAATGTTTTAGGGCTGTTTTGTGATATATTTTATGCACAAACTTTAAATTTTACAATAGTTCTATATTTATAGAAAAGTTGTAAGGATAAAAAGTCCACATATACTCTATGCCCAGTTTCCCATATGACTAACATCTTACTAATGTGGTGTATTTGTTACAACTAGTGATAAATAATTGATTACATTCCGTACTTGATTTACTTCTACAGTTTTTCTCTTTTCCATTCCACTATTCCATTCTAGAATACCACATGACATACAAGGCTCCTCTAGGCTATGACAAGAAGTCTTGGGAGTACTCTTGCACGGAAGACCTGAGATGCTGTTCTCATCACATTACATCAGCAACACATGCTATCAACAAGACTTGTCATTGTTAGTATTGACCTTGATCATTTGACAAAGGTAGTGTTGGCCAGATTTTTCTGTAAGATTATTCTTCCCACTTCTTTACTGTATTCTTTGGGAGCAAGTCCCTATGTGCAGTCCACATTTAAGAGGTAAGGGTTTATCCTCCATCTCTCTGAGCAGGAAGTTTCTGCATGTATTGTTTGGAGTTTTTTCATATGGGAGATTTGTCTTCTTCATTTACTTATTTATTCATTTATATATTACATCCTTATGTAAATATATATTTATACTTTTGAGTTCTAATTTAATGCTGTTAAATATACTCATTTATTTATTTTTTGCTCAAATTGTTCCAGGTTTGGTCACTAGGAGTTCTATTAACTGTCCCTTTGACATATCCCAATATTATTTCTGTGGGGGGTTGTCTTTTTTTTAATTTCTTGCATTTTCTTCGTTTCTTATCTGTAAAATACTCCAGGCTCATGTTGTTTATTTCCTGTCCCTCCTTAGAATCAACCATTTCTGCAAGGAACCTGACTCCTTTTATTGGAAATAAAATCTTGGCAATAGAAACCATGATTTGGACAGCAAGTGTGTTCATTACTATTGGAGTGGCATTACTTCTAGGCCATCTCAGCTGACAGAGCAAGGAGATACATGAGAATACTAATCTGTATATGTACCCATGTCTGTATTTACCCATAGGAAGTCAAACATGAACTCATACTGTCATTCAAATTCTAATCCACAGGATCACCTCAGCCTTCAGGAGACTACCTTTTAATGAATGAAAGAAAAAAAAAAGAAAAGAAAAGAAAGAAAGAAAGAAAGAAAGAAAGATCTAGATTTTTCTTGTATAAATTGAAAATAAAAAGGAAGGAAAGGAAGAAGATTGGTTTTCATAATATATTCCTTTATTTCTTCAGAGGAGTTATCCACCATCTTTTGATTAATGTGATTCAAGTAGGACTGGGTTGTTAAAAAAAAAAAAGAAAGAAAGGTAAAGACAATGGGCATGAATCCAGTTTGTTATTATCAGAGCCAACACCTTTCTCCTTTCATTAATTGGTATAAAAAAAAAGTATGGGGAAACTTGTGAACAGCTGCAGTTCTTCTGAAAAGAGAGCAAGAACAGTCTTAAATTATATTAGAAGAAATAGGGAAACTATTCTGATAAAGAGTTACTGAATGTTGGAATGTAAGATAAGAAGTTAGAATTTCTTCTTCTGTTTTTTAAAATTAGGCCAGATTCCTAGCTGTCTAGGAGAGTAGGTGTTTTTCTGATTTTTAAAGCTCTTTTCCTCCCTGATTTCTGGGATTTTCTGCACACATATTTAGATCCTTAGCGCAGGGAAATTCCTATGTTGAAGACACAGGAAGGTGATAAGAAAAATAGAGGGGGGGGGAACAAGAATAAAAATGGGGAAAAAAGGTTTTATCCTTTTTAAAAACTCCATGTTTAGAATAAAAGTGAAAACAGAAAATGGATTGTATTTACCACCTTTTCATATTTCTTAATCAGCATCAAGTGCAAATATTGCAATATTGATTTGCCCCTTTAATAGCTCCTAATGGTTAACAGAAACTGATCATAGGCAATAATATATATTGCCTCCTAACAAACAGATAAATGCTTAGATATTTACAGTGTAATACTGTTCCTTTGGTTATTTTTTGTTTTTGTTTTTTTTAAAGAGGATTTATTTTATTTTATTTTTAACTACAGTATTCTAAATTGCCCTCACTTCTGTGGCATTTTGATTATGTACCTGGAGCTAAGTAATGATGTTTTACCTAAACAAGATGACTTAAAAAATTATTTGGGACTTATAATGATATGCTCTACAAAATACATTTTTTTCTACAAATGTCATGTGTAGGCCAATAACAAAATTATTTTGCATGATGGCAATGGATTGTATTGGAAAGATCCGGTTTTACTACTGACCTTCCACATACCACTGATACAATCTTGGGCAAATTGCTTGTCATTTTGAGTCTCATTTGCTCATCTTTGAAATGGTTATAGAAATATTTATCTTGTATATTTATTTATTTAAATATTTATGGTTGGTGTAAATATCAAATGGGCCTGTGGACATATTATACGTAAGTGCTAAGAGTGTGTTATAAAGTATTCAGATGGCAATTATTATTATCACCATTATTGCTAATCATAATGAATTCATTAAGGAAGCATTATTGAATAATGGAGAATGATATTGGCCAAATTATATTGTTATATTGTGTGCATGTATGAATATATAATAAGAAATCTCACCATTATGTACAACTATAATGAGCCATAAATCATGGAAAAAATTAAAAAATAAATAAAAATTTAAAAAGAAGCATTATTGAGTCACTACTGTATAAAAATGAATAAAACCCTACATGTTTATAAAAATGAGCAAAACACAAACCGTATTCTCAATTATTTCATGATATTGTGGCAAAAATATAAACTTAGCTTGAATTCATAATTAATGAGAAAGAAAGCACAGAAAAATGCTCCTGGAAGGAGAGGCCCATTTAAGTCCAAAGAATGCCTCAAGGATGATTCTCAAAGGAAGTGAAATGAAAACTACAGTGTCATTTTCTTTGAAAAGGTCACCATAGAATAAATATCAGATTAATGATGAATCTTGATAATTATAAAGTCATTGTCTATTTCAAAGAGACTCTATTAGAATTTTCAATTTTACTGTAAAATGATATGGGAAATCCAGATTAGAGGCAAAAGGAGCATAATAGTGAACAAGGGAAGGGTGAGCTGTGAAAACTTGGACAGTTGATCCAACCTTTTGGTTAATTTCATCTTCAATTTCTTTTATGAAATGAGGATTATTATTGATTACCCTGTAGCTTTAGAATGAGGATTAAAGATGATTCAATGTGTTAATACATACTAGGTTCTTGAAATAGTGCCTGGGACCTAGTAAACACTCAATATTGGCTAGTATATCTGATGAGGTGGAAAAAAGGATAATTACAAGCCCAAAATATACTTCCAACATTATCTCAAATTTTTTTTGTTAGATGTTGGCCAAGTCACCATCCAGACCTGGTTTCTCTTCGTTAAATGAAGATTCTTGTTGTAGTAAGCTTTCTGTTACTGTGATAAAACACCTGAAATAATCAACTTAAAAAACGGAAAGGATTATTTTGGCGGATGGTTGCTTGGCCCTGTTGCTCTGGTCCACATTGTCTTGTGGTGAGAGTATATGGAAGAGTAGGCCTCTTCACTTCATGGAGGCCAGGAAGCAAAGAGAGAAGCAGGAAGGGACCAGGATGCCAACATTCCCTTTGAAGGCATGTGGCCTAACTTTTGTCTGCTGGACCCCACCTCCTAGTTCCACCACCTGCCAGTAGCACACAGGCTAGCCACTAGGCACAGGCCCATGTACTGAAGACCAAGGTCCTTGTAGACAAGAGGGCAACTGCAACATAAGCCAGAACCACAAGCCCTAGTAGAGAACTAGGGCACCAGCTGAGCCAAAGGGGACAGGCTGCCAGTCGCATGTCTCCCGTGTCCTCTCCCTCTTCCTGGGAGCCAGTTCACCATTCTTAGGCAGCACATTTCCTGTGCCATTACAGAAGAAAGGAATTTTGCCTATATAAGGAATAGAAGCCAAGACCCCTGGTGCTTTTCCCCTTTCAGGCTGTCCCCCCAGCTTCCCCCAGGCTTTGTGGCTTCCCTAAAAAAAAGTAAAAGCAGAGTGTTGCATTCCCTAAAGTAGGCCACAGCCTAGTTATTCTGTGATTTCTTCTCTCGACATTAGTACCAAAGGAGAATAAGAATGTAAACATCTGTTTTGCATAAGCTGATTCCAGACTTATAACCTGATTAGTATAAGAGAATATTTGATGTGATTAATTTTCCAGTTATAATGAGATGGTTTTCTGTCCTTTCATTGCATTCTTCAGGAGACAAGAGAATAAGAATCTAACTTTAATTTCTCCCTTTTTTTCAGCGTAATAGCAGTGCCAAGTATAATCACTATGCAAGAGTACTCTACTTTTAATTCAATGGTAATAGCAAGTTACTTACCCTGTAAAAATGTGCTAACGTAAACATAAAGCAATCCTGGGCCTCCTGACATCGACAACCAGACATTTGGGGAAGGATCATTGAGGATAACATCGAACCATTTAGTGATTTGCAAAAGGCAGTTTGTACTCATTGCTTCTGGGCAGTCACTTCATAGCCCTTATTATGTCAATGCGTTTCTGAGGTAGGGTTTCTCAGGCCCAGGGGGGTAATGCTTCCAATGAGGTGATCACTTAAAATATTAACCAGTCAGCAGTCTTATCTTCTTCAGGGCAATTAGAAGAATTTCAAGGGAGAAAACTGAATTGGAGAGAGGGTTTTTTAGTATTGATTTTGCTGTAATGTGCTGGACTGCTTTTAAAAGACGTTACCTTCTTATATGCCTCCTACCCCCACCATCCAGCAAATGCAACACTAATGGTGTGAATCTGTGTGAAGAGACTTTTGAGGCTAATTTGGTGATGTTTAGCAAAAAAACTGGCAAAGTCCCAGTATCTGCTACATGTCACCGCGTATCATTAGGTACGTTAACTTCGGAGAAGCAACTCCATCTCTACTTCCATTTCCTGACCCTGGGACCTCTCAGGGAGTCTCAGATAGATGAAGGTCAGATATCAGTTCCTGGTGAACTAAGAAGCTCTTTTACTTTTTCTCTTTTGTCCTTATCTCTGTCCCTAGAGCCTTTCAAGGGTGTTGGTGGTTTATGCTTGTTTGGAGCTACATACACAGCTCTTTTTGTAAGAAAGCAACAGAAAACTACCAAATGATTTTGATAGTGTAGTCATAGTCTCTTCTTGTATTATCCATGATGGTTATTTTATTTCATGGCTTCTTCATAACCCGCAGCCACAGGAGAGCACTAAATAGCAGTAAAGACACAGGCTCTGGACCAGGTGGCTTGGGTTCAAATGCCACCTCTCCTCTCACTGGCACTGACCTTGGGCAAGTTGCTGAAACTCTCCACGTCTCAGTTTCCGAGGATGAAGGATGGTGTTACTATTATTATTGCAGCCTACTCTTATTTTTGTTCTTTTCCCCAATTTATGTCTCTTATTCCCTCTCTCACACCTTGCCCTGAGTGATTTTGCTGGATTATAACTGACCTTTCTGCTCTCCCCTTAAAGTCCTCCAGCGCCTTTATGTGCCTTCCAGATGCAATCCAAGCCCTTACACTGGAACCCAAGGCTACTCAGGATGCCTGGTTGACTCCCCATTGTTCTTTCTTCTCATTCCAACCTAACTTTCACTTCTAGGAATGGACCACGTTCCTCCTCCTCAGCACCCACCCCCAACTGAAATCTGGTAAATTTCTCCATATTTTATCCTTAAGTAAGATGTCATCCTCCTGGGGTGCCATACTTTCGGATGTGCCTTTCCTGAGACAGATGCCTGTCTTATTTGCTTCCTGAGAATGCTGGATTTCATCTTTCAGAGCATTCTTACACTGTTGACTCCACTAGACTGTAAGTGCCTTGAGGACAGGGAATCAATTTTCTTTCTCAGGCAATCACCGTGATTTGGGTGAAACTAGCAACTGTTTAATATATTTGTTGAGGAATGAGTCAGTAAGGACTAAACAGAGTTTGGGGTTCAGAAAAAGCAGAACTAGGATTAGGTTATTAACTATGCCATTTTAATGGACTTTAATTTCTCTATCAAATAAGGTTGATATTGGATAATAGCCAAGAGTTTGACCAAAGGTTCAAAAAACTTTATGCAGATATAACTTGATAGTATCTTGACAATGTGTGATTGTTTATGTCCCATGGGGAAAAGCCTTGACCAATGAAGATGGGAACCAATGGGTAGGTACTTCCCCTTTTGGCCTTATCCATTTGCCTTTCTTTTTAAAGAAAAGTCTTTAAGTGCCTAACAGGGTTTTCAAACCAATTCATGACATTGGGTAACCAGTAGCCTATAGTTGTGGCTAACTTGAGAATGCACCCACATAATGGCTCTGTCTTCTTCCCTGCTTCATTCCCCCAACCCCTCATACCTGCCCCCTGGAATCAGAGCAAACCTTCTTGTTTGCTTTCTAGCAAACTTTGGGTAAGGCTGTTGGAGAATAACCACAGCTGAAATAATTTTAGAAATTGTTGAGTGTGAGCTGCTCGTGAATTGCAGAACTGAAATAATTAATGGCCGAAGCAAGATTAGATTCACAGACCAGTGCTCCTTCCAACCTCATAGAGACTTTTAATAACAAAAGCAGGAAAAGGGCTAGGATATATATTATTTCTGGAAATACTCTGACTTAAACACCACTGTTTTTTTCCCCCACCCTTCCTATCCTCATCTTGGGCTGTGCCCTTTTCCCAACTCAATCATTTTCTCCCACTTAACCTTCTTGGTTTTCTCAGTTGACTGCTGCCAAAATATACTTTCAGGGATTCATTTACTCTAAAGTGTGAATAAGATTTCTGTCCATGGGGTTACCTTGTTTCCAGAGATCTTCATATCAACTGAGAATAAACTATTGAAAGGAATGTGAGCCCATATAGGTCTTGACAATGTCCCAAATCATATACCTTTAATTATTTGAGACTAAAGTGGAGAAATATATTTGGGGTCATGGAAGATGTATGTATATTTCTACATAAATGTATATGTGAGTAAAAATACCTTTTAGTCATTGAATTGTTTATTTTTTTATTTTTTATTTTTTTTTGTCACACTCTTTCCCAAGCACTATGCCTTTTGGACCTTAAACACACACTTATGTGCTGCCACCCATTTTATCTTGGGATGGTAGTGAAGCTACTGTGTCAGTAGTGAAGCTACTGAGATCATCAACTTATAAGGGGGAAAATTTATTGTTGCTCACTCTTTGGAAGTTTCATTCCCTGGTCTCTAGAGGTGAATGGAGGTGAAACCTGGCAGAGCCTAGCAGACTTCCTGGGTCGAGGAGAAAGAGCTGAAAGACCTGGGAGACCCAGCAAGAGTTCATAGGACAGAGTTCCAGAAAGAGCTATATAGATAGAGAATTTCAGAGTTCTGAAAAGGGTCCCCTCCCACAACTGTCCAGGTGAGTACTGATCAGCATATGCATGATAGGAAGCTACCAAATGTCCAGGAAAGACCCAATTGAAGGTGACAGTACCCACGGATGGGAATATACTGGCTGCTTCCACCAGCCAGACTGGGAAACTCATGATTCACAGGGTGCTGAGACAAGCACACAGGTGGATCTTTTCTTGGTAATAGGGAATAATTAGCCCTTGATTGAACACTGTTTAGGTCTCATCTGAAACATTTTCAAAGCAAGTCCTAAAAGGATCAA